GACTCAGGGAAAGACTCAGGAGACCCAACGAAGACGACCCGACGAAGACAGAACGGACGGCTTAAATACAGGGACAAGACGAGACGTGATAACAAACAGCTGGGACGAGACACAGGTGGCATTAATAGAACTAAATGAGGGAGCACAAGGGAAACAGACACAAACCGGGCCACAGAAAAGTACCATCCTTACAACATCTACTTTTGACACCATCGACCATGGGATCCTCATTTCTAGGCTGGAGCAGTGGGTGGGCATCACAGGGTCAGCCCTCAAATGGTTTTAGGTCCTACCTCTCTGACAGAACCTTTTGTGTCTATATCAAAGATTTCAGTTCAACATCGGTTGAACAGTGCTTCGGTGGGGGATACCGCAGGGATCCCTCCTTGGTCCCCTTCTCTTTTCTTTATACCTGCTGCCACTAGGTGCTATTTTCTGCAAACAAAACATACCCTTTCATTTCTATGCCTATGACTGTCAAATTTACTTCCCCCAGAGGTACACATTCTATTCAACTCTTCTTGACTGCCTGGCTGACATCCAGGACTGGATAGCTTAAACTTCTTAAGTTTCAATGAGAAGAAGTCTGAAGTCATGTTGTTCCATCCTAATGGCACATTCATGAACAACTGCATTGACCTTTTCTCTCTAGCTTCATTAGAGAAACAAAAAGTCCCTATTCTGGGAGTGATAATGGATCCTTCCTTGAAACTTAACAGTCACGTAAACATGATTGTTAAATCCTGTTTTTTTTCAGCTGAGGCGGCTGTCTAAGCTGAAGCCATTACTGTCCAAAAAGAATCTTGAGACAGTGATTTGTGCATTCATAACATCGAGGCTTGATTACTGCAATGCACTTCTGTTTGGAATCAATCAGTCCTCCAATGCACGTGTACAACTGGTCCAAAATGCTGCAGCCTGATTATTAACTGGTACAGGCCATAGAGAGCACATTACACAAGTTTTGGCCTCCCTGCACTGGCTACCCATTCACCTTCAGATCCTGTTCAAAATACTCATGTATGTTTTTCAATCACTGAACAGTTCTGCCCCATCCTATCTCACTGATCTTCTGCAGCCATATGTCCCACCGCGCTCTCTGAGGTCAGCAGACCAGATGCTTCTTTCAGTTCCAGAAACCCATCATAAACTCTCCAGAGGTGACAGGGCTTTCTCTGTTGCAGGTCCAAGACTGTGGAATGAGTTGCCACTGCGTGTCAGGTAGGATCCCACACTCACAGTCTTTAAGTCTCGCCTGAAAACCCACTTTTATTCCCTTGCCTTTGACATGGTGTGATTTGTTTTGATCCTGTCTGTAGTCTACAGTGTTGGCCATTTAGTTATTATCTGCTGCTATTTGTATCTATACTTTTATTTTGTGTTTTCCTGTCTGCTGTGCTTGTTTGTTTCTATTGTACAGCACTTTGGTTGGTCTTGTTGCTGTTTTAAGTGCTCTATAAATAAATTGGTATGATATGGTATCAGAATAAACTTTATTATCATTGCACCGAGATACAATGAGAACATGTACGTACAGTCATCCGAAAGATGGGCCGAGTGCAGGAAGCTGCTACTATGAAAGTGCGGCCCTCTTATTCTTATTCAGAATAATATTTTGCTTAGATGAGAAAAGGGGAAAAAAAACATGAGGAGAGACAGTATTAAATAAAGATCTCATGCCATTTCCTAGACAGGTCACATTTTAAGGCATCAAAAAAACCTACCACAACAAATCCAAAAAAGTTCAATC